AAATTATTCTGTACCTACAATATATAAATTTAATAAATTTTCAATATTAAATATATAATTTAGTAAAATTACTAAGACAATACAATTCATCAATTATTTCTAAACTTTTTAAGCTTTCAATATAACTCATATTTTTATTTTTTAATAAATTTTATACTCGCTTATGAATCATTAATGAGACTAAATAATTTAGTAAATACTTATACAATATTTAAGAATTTTCATTTAGCTCAGCACTTTACTTAACCCTACAGTGCTGTAAATATCAATTATTTCAATAAAAAATTAAAATAAACGCTTAAGGATATTTAATTATTAAAAATTAATAGCTCACTTCTCTACACTGCTTCCTTCACACAGATACACACACATACTTCTGTACATATAGAGCACATATGCTTAATGTCCTTGCATGAAATTATAAACAAAAGTTGTACATTAAAATGTCTTAACACAGAGGAGCATTTATCTAATCAAATGTGCTCACAAATACACAAACGGGCAGGCAGGCAAATATGCTTGTATACATGTATGCATGACATCAAACGTTTTGGTCGTGTGTGTTTGAATATTTAAACAGTTGTTCCTGTGAATTAATGACACTCATACGCAATGTTGTACACACTTTAAAGTGAATGTACGAGCTTAAAACAAAATTAACTAACATTTAATGTGATAACCAACCACACAAAATAACTATACAGTAGTTAAGCTAACAAGTGAACATAGTATGCTGAGAGGGCTGAGTGGTCTGAGGGGTCTGAGAGGGGCGTGTGGAAAAGAAGCGGTGGGGAAAAGTACATAAGACATGCACAAAATTAATTGACATTTTGACAAACGATGAAATTGTGGTTGTTGTATGATTTATTCGCTGCTAATGTTAATGTGACATGACAATTGTCACTTAATTATCTCTCAAATGTGATATACTTGTTGTATTTATATATGTGAAATATAGTTACTATGTCAGCTTTATCTATTGGTAGATGTGTATAGGTATGTCAAACGATAATAAAAGCATATGCTTGTGTGCACTTTCATTGCTTAAGCCACTTAGTAGTATCAGCGTAAAGTCACTGGCATGTCCTTACTGGCAAAAACTAATGATGGAATGACTGCGAGTGACGTTCGTGTTTTTTTTTCATTGTTTTCGATTGAATTAATATAAATTGCAATTTTCTACTTCAATATTTTTATTAAGTATCTGTCTTTTTGGCATGTGTGTGATTATATGGCAAACAGTCTTTTTTCACATTATGTGAGTATATATGTTCCTAATTATGCATTTATATTATGTTGTCAGAAAAATAGTGAAGAAAAAATATTTCTTTCATTAATAAAATTTATCCGAACAATTAGTGACGGATTCGTTTGGAAAATTACTGACACTACACAATTACTAAGCAAATTGTTGATGTGACAGTTTGTTCTTAGAAATTTGAGTTAACAGGAAATATTTTTTTTTTGTTTAAAAAAAGCCTTTTATAAAGCAGGATCTTTCGTTTTTATAGTAAATGGTTTATATGCAATTAAAATTAAAAATTGAGAATAAAAAATATTTATCTTACTTTTGATAAGATTACCTGACAAGCTGCCTATTAGTAAACACCAAGTGTGCTCATACTTGCTTCCAAGAAGTTGAATTAAAGGGGACCCGTCGTCTAACTGAGTATGTAGGTATCTTCTGTTAATTCTCTTTTTCCCTACAAATCTGTCTATTCTTTAAATAGACTAAAAGAAAAAGACAAATTTCTGTTTAACACAATATCATTTCTTTATTCAAGTTGTGCTAAATTGAAATGATATAATTTTAAGGAATTATAAATCTAACTGAAGTATGTTCAGATATATACAAAAAAAAATCAAAAAAAATGTTTTAAAAAGAAAGGAAACAAAATTGTATTTATTAAAAAGATTAAAGTGTTACAATAAAAGATAAACACACTGCAATTTTTTAATTTGGACGCTAAGAATTTAAATTAGTTCTCATCCCATTGAACTCAAATTTTATTTAACCTTTCGTTCATTCTTCAGTCCAATAAAATTCTTTGTGAAAAAAATATAGTTATTTGTAAAAACTTTTGTTGAATTACATTTTTTGAATTTTTGTTCCAAATAAAGTTGGTACAGTAATATTGGAATTATGGGGCTTAAATTAGTAAAACCCTATAATTTTCATCATATTGAAATAAAAGGTTTTTGAATGGTTTGAAAATTTTGAAATTGGGGTAGAGAGAATCAAAAATTTGTATTAAAATAAATTCTTAGTAAAATTTTTTTAAATCTTCTCTTCATTGTTAGTTGAACTAGTTTCATTAAGTTCCTCATATGCATTAACGACTTGAACTTCATCGAGTTCCCCATTTGCATTAACAACTTGAACTTCATCGAGTTCCCCATCGGCATTAACATCAGTAATAAATTCTACTTCGAGCACTGCATTTGCATTAACAACTTGAACTTCATCGAGTTCTCCATTTGCATTAACAACTTGAACTTCATCGAGTTCCTCATTTGCACTAACATCAGTAATAAATTCTACTTCAGGCTCTACACTATTTAAGGTATCATTGTTTAAGTGAAAATTTTCGTTGTCAATTGATTGAAAATCATGTGCCACATCTGAACCTCTGATAGTATAAGCAGTGCTATCTATGGTGCCATCAATTATATGGTTACCACTATTAAAACTCATGCCAATCTCTGATTGCTGCTCATCATTATTAAGTTGTGGTGTTGAAAGTGATCCCCTGTGACTGGTTCCTTGTGCTGTTATACCTTGGACAATCTGTTTAAGCAGCTCATCTGAGGTTTCAGTAACATTTCCAGTGGTTTTTATAGCATCATCACCTATATGCACATTTTCAACCAAATTATTCAGATCTTCAAGCTGATTAGCAGATGTGGAGTCATTGTTTATACTCGAATCGATCTCTCTTTCCTGTTGAATATTTTGAAGTTGTGCTGTTGAGCATGATCTTCCATGACTTGTTGCATGTGTAGTTACATCAACAGATCTACATCGTGGCATTTTAGTATTTATATCATCTTCATCACTGTCACTACTTAAGTCATACCAGACACGACGTAGTTCTCTGATCGCTCGTTCTACACAAATTTCACTATTCCTTACTCTTGCATTTACTTCTCTTAAGTTAGTTAAGAGGCCCTATAGAAATATATTAAAAATTATTTCTTATATTAATAAATAAATATTCACTGAGTGTCTGTTCGATCCTCCAGCAGCAGATTGTTGAGGCTTATCCTAAGAACAATCGAAAATTTGTTTTATTATTAACATAATTTTAAAATTTTTAAGTACCTCTAATGTGGATCTACAGAGTGGACACTTTGGGCCATGCAAGTAGAACCTCGAATGCATTGTTAGTTGTGTAATGCATCCATGACAAAACGAATGCTTGCATCTCAACGTCTTTGGATTTGTTTTAATTTCCAAACATATCATACAGATATCTTCATTGTTATTATCACCCATTTTGGAAACCTTTTAAATGCTTTTCGAGTATTTGGAAGAATTACCAGAAGAATATCTATGAAGTAGAATGTACTTTATTACTTTATTAAATGAAAGTCAATATTAAATATTAATATTAATCTTATTAATATTATAGTCCGAAGCGCCGTTAGCCAAAAAGCGTCACAAAGTATGATAGGAAGTCTACTTATTTGCTGGTTTGCAATGAGATTCTCAAATTAACAACTATTCTGCAACTTTTATAAAGAATGAAAAAGATTAATACATTATATGAGTCTGTTATACCTAAGGTGGTGAATTTTTACCTTCAATTTTGTCTAATTCCAATCTTGAAATCTTTCAAAATCTTCTTTCTTTCGTATTTAAGAATTTTATTTTGCTTCTAAAAATTAATTATATAAAATATTTGTATTTTATTTCAAGGCAAACTACACAGTTGTGTTAACAGCAAAATATTAATATCAAGTTTATAAGAGAGTTATAAGGAATTTTTGTGGGGATTAAAAAAATGTAATTATTAATTTTCTATCGTCGGAACAGAAGAAGGACGAGAAAGTCTTTCTGTGTAAAAAGAGCAAAATAGAGTAAATAATAACAATTAAATTAAATTCAATTAAATTAAATTAAGATTTATTTAGTTGATCATTTAAGTGCTGCCAAAAGTGCTTTCAGGCTTCGGGAGTCTAAGATGTGGAAAGCAGCTAACTACAGACACCGCACAATTTTGAAGGAGATTAGAAATGCATACTAACATATTTTAGCACATTATTATGAAATATAAATACGGATATGTATAAGTATACTTATATGATCTTAACATACAAAATTGAAATATATACTTACGTTTTCCAATTTTGAAGACCAGAGACGATCTGGTAGATTTCAAATCTGACTTCTTCAAACAAACACTTTGCTACCTTTAATAAGAGAGAAAAATCTTTGTAAACTATGTATTATAAAAAAATAGATCAAGATTTTTCACCTTTAATTTTATTTAGTTTAGTTAATGAAACTTTTTCAATCGCATTGAATGTTTATATTTTTTTTTTATAAATAAGTAAGTTTTTTGTAATAACTTAATTTTATTTCAAAGCAACTACGTTAAATAAATGGAAAACAAATTAAACATACTTGCAGAAAAAGCCTAGTGTGGGGTAAAGATAAGCCCCACAGCCATTATAGAGTAAAAGTGCGTAATAGCACTAACTCAAGAAGAAGAATCAAGAAGAGAAGAAAAAGCTTTTTCTGGGTGCCCTTTGTAGTCTTAACTCAACTTTTTATTTTATTAGTTTACATAGCGAAACAACAGGCAATTTAAAGTTCGCTTTGATAAACAATGGTCGTTTGAAAGAAATATTAAAGCGAGAGTCCTTCAAGGATCGTCTTTATCAGCTTTCTTAACATTGTATTGAGTAAATTAAAAAAAGTCGATAGAATTAATAGTAAAATCCATAAAAACTTATGAAGCGAAAGCGTAAAACAGTATAAAAGGGATAATGTTCTATACTTTTCAATAATTGATGCTCATCGAGTCCAGCACTAGGTAGGCAATATACAATATACAGTAATTTTATTGTCTGTGATAGGTGTGCGAAACTTCAAAGTATTCTGCTATAAATAGTAAATATTTGACTTCATCAACCTAACTAGAAATTTATCAAGAAGTAATAAGCGATTAATAAAAGTGGTTACCAACGTAAGAGATTGTAACTTATTGCAGGCAAATCCTCGAGGATCAAGACAATACAAGCGACACGTCTGAAAGAATATTACGCAGAATGTAAATTTTGTTGTTTTTCTTTTTACTTTTCACTTCGTTCCACCATCTCATCAAGTATGTCTGTTGTCTATGTTCAATCCATCTTTTGTTTCCCTCTCTCTTTTCTTTTTTTTGTTTTTGTTTTGTCTCCTCTTGCTTCTCACTTGTCTCTCTTTTTCTCCTTCACTTTTGTCTCCCCTTGCTTCTCACTTGTCTCTCTCTTTCTCTTTTGTTTCTCCTTGTTTCACACTTATTTCGTCCTTTTTGTTTTGTTTGCCCTTGCTTGTGACTTGTGTCTCTCTCTCACTTATCTCTCTCTCTCTCTCTTTCACTTGTCTCTCCCTCTCAATTCTCTTTCTTTCTTGTGCTCTTCTTTGTCTTTTTTTTCAATTTTTTGTGTCTATAGTCTTTCAGTTGTTTCTGTCTTAACAATTTTTCGTCTTCTTATTGTCACGTTTATCTGCTTTCTCCCCTATATCTCGCTGTATAAAGGTTCGTTAAGATATGTTTTAAATACTACTACAACTAAAACATTTTTCATTGGAAGTTTTCGTGAACTTTTCGAAATTCATTTGTTTGTCGATAAATAAAACAATACAGAACGGGAAGAACATTTCGGAAAAAACAAATACATAAGTCCAAATTGAGGATTAGCGGAGTTGTACCACATATATTATATATATTAAATTCAAGTATAGAAGTATATACTGTTTGTGTATACAAAAATAAATGTATATACGTAACAGCATATATACTATTAAATTGATATTTACAGATTCCAGTATTCAAATAGATTTTTTTCATTTTTAAGTATTGAGAAAAAAAACCTTTTTTTGTGAGTGAAGCAGCGGAATAAATAGAACCCCATTTTTGAAATGGGGTTCTTACTGTTAGAGACCCGTTAGGTTAAGCCCGTTACTGTTAGAGACCCAGTTGCCTAGTAGAAAAATAATTACAGATTTGAACTAACTATAAAACTTATTGCTTAGTGTAATCTTTTGGCAAAAGAAGGGGAGAATAACGACAAAAATTTATTTAATAAAAATCGCAAAACGCAATGTCATATTATATATTAAGTTAATTAAAAATAATTTAATTTAATATTAGCAACGCGATATTTAAAATTATTTCCTATCGGTTTTTTTAATATGATATACAAATATGTAAACATATACTTACGTGTTTTGATTTTTGAAGATACGAAAAGAATTAGTGGATTTTTCGGAAAAAGCCTTTCGTGGAAAAGTTGACCAGATTCTTCCCTTTATAAATGCCTTTGGCTGGCTCTAGTGTGTCCTTTTCTCTACTACCCACTATTATGAGGTTTTTTTGAATTCAAAGTGGCTTTCTTAGAGGGAGGGACTCGTCCTCCTTCCACCACAACTAACTGACTAACTGACAAGAGTTCCGTAAATGAATTTAGAAACGTGTCTAGTCACAAGATTCACAAGCACTCTATTTATTTTATGCTGTGTATCGCGCTCTTCACATAAATTTTTTGTAACCTTTAAATATAAGGAAACATCCTTCTTCTTTAACACTTTGTATGATATTAAGAGAAGAGTTATAACCTCTAATTTTGTTTAACTCAATTACTTAAAACGTTTCAATTTCTATTGTATTAAATGCTTACATTTTTTACAAAGAAATAAATTTTTTAATATATTTTATTTCAAGGCAAACTATGTAATTATATTTTAATAAATTAAATAATGAATTTCTTGAAAAAGTAGTAGTATTATCCTGGAGTACCTTAATAACCTTAACTGAACTCTTCATTTCATTTGCTGACAAAGCAAAATGTGAAATTTTAATTTTAGTAAATTATATACTTAGTTTATTATTTTTATTCGAATTTATAAAGGAATCAGGTAGGAAAAATAATGAACTTCAATCCCAGTAGAGCTGACCTCATGCGGCGTCATTTGATTGTGGTCACATATGTGCGGCTTCGTTATCCACTTCATGAAAGCTTGCATCCATATGAGTGGCTACTCAGTACTTGCAAGTAGTTGGAGTGTGTGTTGCTCTATAAAGGCAAGAGTACTCGGTCATTTAAAGTAGCAACAAAAGCATTTCCGTTGATCATTTAATGATGCATTTTCGATGCTAACCATTCAATGGCAAAAGCAACCAAACAACTGAACCAACTACTCACCAAACCAAATCAACCAGCTAAGCTAACCACTGTGATTTTGTAATTTTGTTGCAATGTGACTTGGTGGGAATGTCATCCTATGCCAAAGGACTGGGGAATAGTGTGTACTCAAACATGGCGACGCGTGCTTGTGATTGTGTAAATACTTTCTAAGTGCCACTAGAAAGTCTTTTCATATATATATATATATATATATTTTTTTTTTCTTTTTGGTATAATTACACATACCTTTCTTATATAATTTACTATTTTTTTATTTTTTGTAATTACAGAGCACTCCCTTTTGCACTTCTTGGTTATGCTACACCATATTCCAGTGCACAATTCCAAAATGAAACGTTTCAATTGCTGCCAAGTGTTTGATTAGTTGCTTTAAATGAAATTTATCGTTTCCACGGTATACGTACAGTTTCCGCTTGTGTGATTGGCTCTGTTTGCTGGCTACTCCATCGGGCTGGAATCTTGCTGCTTCAGCGACATTGGACTGTTGCTCAACACTGGCAGTGTATAAACAAAAAATTTAATAAATTTTAAAAACTGCTAAGAGTGGCCATGTTTGGTTGTTTGGGTGCGTTTGGGATCTGTTGTTTAACTCTGCTCAGTAGTTTCTGTTGTTGTTTATCAAAGCATCATTTTTACAATATCAACACTTTCTTGGCTATAGTGAACGCAACTTAATGAGACCAGAACAGTTCATTGCCAGATAAATGGACTGCAATATTGCTGCTGCTATTGTTGTTCTTATTATTGCTGCTGTTGCTGCTGTTATTGCTGCTATAGCAGCTGATGTTGTTGCACTTGTAATTTTAGCTGCTCTTGGCTTGAAACTGCATTGACTTGCATACTGCTCTGGCATCTTACATCAACCGGAAGCACCCAATTGTGTGGAAGCAATAACTTTTCTTAGCTGCCGCTTATGCTATTGAAGTTGCAAAATGAAACTGGGATTTCTATTATTAAATGTTATTTCAGATTTATTTACATTTGTAGTGCAACAAACGGAAAATTGCATTTCGTTTGTGGTCTTAATTAAATGATGAAAAGCGTATCAGGTTTATTGCTCAGTTAAGTTTGTTAAAAGCAGTAATATTACTGCTACAATCGGAAACAAAAATTATTTGTTATTTATTATTTTAATTGCTCGGAGTATAAGTCCGTTACATCTGAAATTTCTATAAAAGGATACTATGAGTTATGAGATAGTCATTATTACATTTGATATTAATGTTAATATAATGAAATCTATTTCAAAACTTACTTTCCTATGTCTTTCATGCACAGTAATTATTTATGGCAGTAGTATATATGTTA